CAAACAACAGCGCCCAGTCAGAGACAGAAGGTGGTGCATGGAGGAGGGAGGAGGAAGGGTCAGTCCCATGGGGTCTGGGAAGTGGTCCTCTTAGGGGTGATGAGGGGCTTCGATTCTGTTCTCACACATCAGCAGAAGAGCACGCAAGTGTGTACACGCACCTGGGGTCTCATCCTAGACCTGCTGAGTTAGATCCTCTGTCGTGTTGGCAGGGGTGGCGGGGGCAAGGGGTAATGTCCTGGGATCTGATCTGCTTGGAGCTTGCTCAGTGGGGTGAGGAGGAGGTTCTGGGAGACCCAGGTGCGTGTACACACGTGCATGCATTTGTATTCAGAAGTGTGTGCAGCCATGTTTAAAAACCGCAGACCTAAAGCAAGGCTCTTCCCAAGGTGTCTTGAAAAAAATTTTGAAATCTTAAGAGATCAGTACTAATAAATGCATTCTAATAATAAAACTGGCTTTAAAAGAAACCTGGTCCCTACCAGTAGATTAGAACCGCACCCCCCCGCCCCCGATCAAGGCATTTCTGTCTTGCGTCCTCGCGGCTGCCGGCACCACGCAACACTCCAGCACATGCTGGATCCAGAGGTATGGGGCTGCAGTACACTCGAGAAGGACCAAGTTACCGGGCACCATCCCTGGAGGTGTAGGACCATCACATGCAGACGAGACGAGAGCCATCCACACAGCTTCTCCTAAAGCAGCGGCGACCCTGAGCATCCGAGTCACCCAGAGCCGCTAAAGTGCTCTCCCAAACACAGAGCCTGAGACAGGCACCTGGGCTCAAACCCACCACCCTGGCCTTCTGGTGAGCACTGCTGTCAACATGCTGTATCTCCACGATTCAGGAGTTACTGGAGTGGCTGACTCACAAAGCGCCTCCCCACCTCCCATCCCCTGCTATATTGCTATAAAGTAGATTTATTTGAAAATAGTGTGAAAATCCTCCAGTGAAAATAAGCAGGTGCCCAGTATTTCAATGTGGTATAGTTTAGTATATATCATATCAGATTCATGATATCTTATTTCAGAATAACCCCAGCTTTCACAAACAGAAATCAATTCCTTAGATGTTAAAAGACGCCTTTTCCATTTGTTATGGTACCAAGGTTTCATTATTCATTCTGTTGCCATTATTCATTTTAATTTGGTATTCATTTTACAAGAATATAGAGAAACTTTCAGACTTAAAGCAGAGATCAAGGCACAAGAGCTTGACCTGATGATGTCATTACTATGTTAACAAACTGGTTTGGTTAAAAAAATAACATGAGGATCAGCTAAGATTCTTGAGTTCAGCCCGTGAAGCATCACCTTGTTAATTCCTCGTAGCAATCCTCTACTATCATTGTGCCTCTTTCACAGAAGTGAAAACTGATGCCAAATTGTTAAGTAACTTGCCCAAGGTCAAAGCCAGAGGTCAAACAGTCTGATGCCAGATTCCACATTTCTAGCCATTACACCATGCCTCCCTCCTAAGAAGTGAAGCCCATTCATTCTAGCTGAAAGTGGTAAATGCCAGCCTGTGCATTACTGTAAAATACACAATAATGAACTACAGATTTGGGCAGTGTTGGCTGTAGGGGGCAAGGGGTAATGTCCTGGGATCTGATCTGCTTGGAGCTTGCTCAGTGGGGTGAGGAGGAGGTTCTGGGAGACCCAGGTGCGTGTACACACGTGCATGCATTTGTATTCAGAAGTGTGTGCAGCCATGTTTAAAAACCGCAGACCTAAAGCAAGGCTCTTCCCAAGGTGTCTTGAAAAAAATTTTGAAATCTTAAGAGATCAGTACTAATAAATGCATTCTAATAATAAAACTGGCTTTAAAAGAAACCTGGTCCCTACCAGTAGATTAGAACCGCACCCCCCCGCCCCCGATCAAGGCATTTCTGTCTTGCGTCCTCGCGGCTGCCGGCACCACGCAGCACTCCAGCACATGCTGGATCCAGAGGTATGGGGCTGCAGTACACTCGAGAAGGACCAAGTTACCGGGCACCATCCCTGGAGGTGTAGGACCATCACATGCAGACGAGACGAGAGCCATCCACACAGCTTCTCCTAAAGCAGCGGCGACCCTGAGCATCCGAGTCACCCAGAGCCGCTAAAGTGCTCTCCCAAACACAGAGCCTGAGACAGGCACCTGGGCTCAAACCCACCACCCTGGCCTTCTGGTGAGCACTGCTGTCAACATGCTGTATCTCCACGATTCAGGAGTTACTGGAGTGGCTGACTCACAAAGCGCCTCCCCACCTCCCATCCCCTGCTATATTGCTATAAAGTAGATTTATTTGAAAATAGTGTGAAAATCCTCCAGTGAAAATAAGCAGGTGCCCAGTATTTCAATGTGGTATAGTTTAGTATATATCATATCAGATTCATGATATCTTATTTCAGAATAACCCCAGCTTTCACAAACAGAAATCAATTCCTTAGATGTTAAAAGACGCCTTTTCCATTTGTTATGGTACCAAGGTTTCATTATTCATTCTGTTGCCATTATTCATTTTAATTTGGTATTCATTTTACAAGAATATAGAGAAACTTTCAGACTTAAAGCAGAGATCAAGGCACAAGAGCTTGACCTGATGATGTCATTACTATGTTAACAAACTGGTTTGGTTAAAAAAATAACATGAGGATCAGCTAAGATTCTTGAGTTCAGCCCGTGAAGCATCACCTTGTTAATTCCTCGTAGCAATCCTCTACTATCATTGTGCCTCTTTCACAGAAGTGAAAACTGATGCCAAATTGTTAAGTAACTTGCCCAAGGTCAAAGCCAGAGGTCAAACAGTCTGATGCCAGATTCCACATTTCTAGCCATTACACCATGCCTCCCTCCTAAGAAGTGAAGCCCATTCATTCTAGCTGAAAGTGGTAAATGCCAGCCTGTGCATTACTGTAAAATACACAATAATGAACTACAGATTTGGGCAGTGTTGGCTGTCTCCCAAACAAGGACCCGATGGTGATCAGTTCCTGATGAGGAGCAGAGGCATTCTGGCTTAATTGATGCTGTGTTTAGACAGCCAGCTCAGAGCCATGGAGCAGCATCAGGAATTCCTGGGCTCCTCTCTCACGTGGCCCAAATGAATGTTCAGCCTGAAGACGGCTCCCAGACCGGGCTTCCTTGGACAGTCATACAGGGAACCAGAGATTTTCAGACACTGGCTCCTGGGGTGGCTGTGACCATGTCCTCACTCCCCAGGGTGCCAGACTTACATGGACATCGTCATTGTCCTGGACGGTTCCAACAGCATCTACCCCTGGGTGGAGGTTCAGCACTTCCTCATCAACATCCTGAAGAAGTTTTACATTGGCCCCGGGCAGATCCAGGTGAGCATGGCTGGGACCCTCTCCTCCTCCAAACAGGGCCCCCCAAACCCATGGCAGATGCTGCCCTCAGGTGTGGGGGAGTGTCTTTGCATGCACTAGAAAGACGTGGGTGAAAGGGCCAGCAGCAGGGCCCTGCAGCCCAAGACACCCATCTCCACTGGGCACATCAAGGGACAGTTTTGGAAAAGCATCATTGGGTGGATCAACCACTGTCCGCTGGGATGGACACCCTCTATTAACAAAAACTTTGATCAGCCAGAGAGTGTGAGAAGGCAGCAGAATCCCGCTGGGTGAGGCAGGGGGAGAATTAGACTCTTTGATCTTGGAGCAGAGACTGGGGAAGTTGTCGTAGCTGCCAGCACATATTTGAAATGCTGCCTAGCCAGTGAGGGGGGAGGTTTATTCCGTATTGTTTTGGCAGGCCAAACGAGGACCAGTGAATAGAAATGACAAGGTGGCAGATTTCAAGTCATCTAAGAAAGTATTTATTTAATAATTTTATGTATTTATTTTTGGCTGTGCTGGGTCTTCATTGCCACGCAGGTTTTTCTCTAGCTGCAGCAAGTGGGGGCTGCTCTAGGGGCAGTACCCGGGCTTAGTAGTCATCATGCTCGGGCTTAGTTGCTCCGGGGCATGTGGATCTTCCCAGAGCAGGGATCGAACCCATGTCTTCTGCATTGACAGGCAGACTCTCTACAACTGGGCCATTAGGAAAGCCCTAAGAAACTGTCCTGCAGCCATCAAAGCTGGTAAAAAGGGAGTGGGCTTTCTCATGAAGTGATGAGTTCCCCACCCCTGGGAAGCTGTTTTAGGGTATGCCAGGTGAAAATTCAGCATTCAGAAAGACACCCTTACCAAACAGACTCTGTGGGCCCATCCAACAGTAGTATTTGTTCAGTCTAGTCCTACTACAGGTAGGTTTTGTTTATTCTTTTAAGATTTTGTTTCTTTTAAGGCTATTAATATTTGAGGATAATTAACATTTCAGACTTCTCTTCCAAAATGTAAAGAATCTTAGTTCCAGATTTTGGTGAACAATGCCATAGCCCATCCTCCCACACTATTCCTAAGATTTTAGATTTTAATTCTGTGCTCAACTTCTGTCTTTTTAAGTAAGAAACTTAATCTGCTGGATCTTTTAGATCAGTCTCCTCTTGCGATAGGCACCTCCCACTTGTCTCACCAAGCCAGCCATTCATTCCCACGACTTGGCAGAACCTGCTTCCCTTTGGCTTAATCCCTCTCCCTTCGGAAGGCCCCCAGGCCTCCTCACTCCTGACCAGTCCCAGATAGATGACTCCAGGAGGCCTCATCCCCAAAGGACCAGCCTTCAGGGATCAAGACATTCTGTCGCCCTCTCCTTTGACTCGCAGGTTGGAGTTGTGCAGTATGGAGAAGACGTGGTACACGAATTTCACCTCAACGACTACAGGTCTGTAAAGGACGTGGTGGAAGCTGCCAGCCACATTGAGCAGAGAGGAGGAACAGAAACCCGGACAGCATTTGGAATTGAATTTGCCCGGTAAAAAAATAAAATAAGATAATTTTTCTAGATCTCAGATACTGTTCTAGTTATCTATTGCTGCCCCGAAAAATTTAGTGTCTGAAGAGACAATAATTAACCCCTCAAAGTACTGGGTGTTGGCTGGGCTCAGCCGTCGGCTCACCTTGGGTTCTCTCGTGTGGTTGAAGTCTGGTGTTAGGTGGGGCTGTTGTCACCTAAAGGTTCAACTGGACTGGTCATCCAGAATGGCACGCTCACATGGCTGGCAGTGCAGGCTGGCCATGGGCTGGGAGTTCAGCTGAGGCTGGCAATCTGAGCTCCTGTGTGTGGGCATGTGGCTTGACACTCTCACTTTATGGCAGTCAGCCTTTGAGAGGAAGTTTTCCAAGGGACCCAGGCAGGAACTCCAAGACTGCCTGTGACCTAGCTGCAGAAGCCCCAGAATATAACTTCTGCTGTAGTTTTCTTTTGGCTGTACCACACAGAATGTGAGTTCTTAGTTCCTTGACTGGGGATTGAACCCCTGTCTCCTGCAGTGGAAGCACGGAGTCCTAACCTCTGGACTACCAGGGAATTCCCTGCCATAGTCTACGATTGAGCAAGTCCCTAAGGCCAGCTCAGGTTCAAGGAGAAGAGAATTTAATTTCCCTCCTTGATGGAGGAATGGCAAGGTCACATCACAGAAGAGCCTTTGAGGGTCAGGGGATATTTTTGCTGCCAACTTCAGGAAATGTCTTCTACCACTGAGACCCTATCAAAAGTGTGTAGGTCGCATGAGGACAGAATATTCTTGTGGGGTATTTTTCATCAGCGGAATGTGAGTAACAGAGTTAAATCTAACATCTGAGATTATAGAGCCATGAGACTGGCTCTTAAACGTGACACAAGAACTCACAGTGATAATCAATGTTATTTATAGCCATCCAGATAGCTATGTGCTTATTCCAGTGACCCTGACATTGCTCAGAACACCGTACTCACCCACACTGAAATCAGTGAATGATTTTAAAGTCAGTTTCCCCAGATCTTTCCAGCTGTAGCCTAAACTCCCAAGATGACTGTGTCCAAGGCATAGAGATTTAAATGTATAAATTTTACACCTTCGAATATGAGCTCTGCTGTGTTCATTGAGACCACAGTCCCATTACCTTATAATCCCCCCTCAAGTAGGGTTAGTCAATGTGTTTAGCAGAATTCTGCAATGTGGGAGCTATTTAGTACTGACATGATTTCGTGTGGTCAAAGAGTAAGTTTCTTCCAACATCATGACTTTATGATTATATGCTCCACCAGCGTATTTCTGTTTGCTGATAAAACTTGCCCAAACTTTTTCCCTAAATGAGCATCTCTGTTTGTAAAGATGGCTCTTACTCACCCTCCTGAGAAATGGGCCCTGATGCTGTTTTGTCTTCATGGGGGTGAGCCCCTGAGACCCCCGAGTAGGCCCTGTGAAGTGGCCAGTGGAGAACTGAGGAAGCCCACACCCACTGAGCTATCAGTGAGAAGCTGACTGACTCCCGCCGGGCTGGAGCCCACTGTTTCCAACTCATTTCGCAGCCCATCTCCCCCAGGCTAAGTGTAATGTGTGACTCACCTAGTGACTTGAACCATCGTGACTCACAAGCACTGCTGGGGTGTGCAAACTGCACCTCAAATGAACTTTCAAATCTGCTCTGCCTGGCCAAGTCTGGGGGCCACATTACAGCTGGCTCCTTTTAAGGTCAAAGGTTTTCTTTCCTCACTCAGCTATTCATAGTGCATTTTTTTCTGTGCATCTACTAAAGTAAAAGACCCAGGCCATGGACTTGAGGGTTTATAAAAATGGTAACTCGTGATCCCAGGCTTAATAGGGAAACTCTGATAAGTGTCAGCCTAACTCAGTGAGGATGAGAGAGAGAAGGCTCCAAGGGAGGGTCTTGGGAGGACTTCCAGGATTGGGGGACATCTGACCTGTCCTAGGAAGGTGCCAGGGTTCCAGCAGGGAGAGGTAGAGAAGACATTCTGCCCCAGTAAGAACAGAGGAGAGGGGAAGTCAAGGAACATTTACGTTCAGAGCTTTGCTCCTGAGCATATTTTGTGTTGGGGGGGATAGTAAGCCCTGATGCTGCAAAGAAGGTTTGGAACTAGATTATGAGAGTGGTACTGTCGTAGCCAAAGCAAGCGTGAGTGGCCAGTGAAGGTTCTTAAGGACAAGAATGTCATCATCAGATGTGCACATGAAGGTGACTCTGGTAGCCACATGTGGCTTTAGGGGAGGGGGCGGGGCAGCATTGTGATGCCACCTTTGTTCATTCAACACTTTTTATTGAGCATCTACTATATGCCTCACGCAGTTTTAGGTACTCAGGATGAATCAGTGAACAAAATAGATAAATGTCCTGCCTTCGTGAAGCTGAGGGTGAGGCAGACAATAAGCAAAAAAAAAAAAAAAATTTATATATATATAGTATGCTAGGAGATACAAGATATGATGGAAAATTTTTCTTGTTGTTTAGTCGCTAAGTTATATTCGACCCTCTGCAACACCATCAACTGCAGACCATCAGGCTCCTCTGTCCATGGGTTTATCCCAGCAAGAACACTAGAGTTGGTTGCCATTTTCTTCTCCAGGGTATCTTCCTGACCCAGGGATTGAACCTGTGTCTCCTGCACTGGCATATGAATTCTTTATCACTGAGCCACTGGCAAGCCTGGGGTGGGGATGGGGGTGGAAAATACAACCTGGTAAAGGCAGTCAAGCAGGGTGGAGAAGGCAGGTATTTAATCAGCATTAACAGGGAAGTCAGGGAAGGCTTCACTGAGAACTAACATTTGAGTAGAGACTTGAAGGAGGCGAGCAAGTTGGCCAGCGGGGTGCTGAGTGGAGGAAGTTCCAAGAGGGAGAAGCTCTGATAAAGGCCCTAAGACAAGAATGTGCCTGGCGGTCCTAGGATCAGGAAAGATTCCAGCAGGAGGAGGGGTCAGAAGGGTCACTGAGGGTCTGTCAGGACCTGGGAGAAATGGGAGCCAGGACAGGATTTGAGCAGAAAGGGGACGTGATATGACCTGCTCTCTCCACCCGGTCACCCTGGCTTCCAGGTTCACGGAACCTATCATGAGTATAAAGCTCTCATTGCTCTCCAGGAAGTTACAGTCTAATTTACAAAGCAACGAATCCAAGTCTTTTACACAGTACAAATTCACAATTTTAAATCCGATGACTCATGCCAGTATTTACACAATTACAGATTCATACAGATATTCACACCATTCCACTCTATGGAAATATAATCCTGAAATGTCCTTGGCTCTATATGTAATAGAACCTGTGTTTCCCCTGCCATATTTTTTTCTCCTGAAGTTTTGTTCCTGGACCTGGCCCTCCAAGAAGGTCTGGGAGCATCTTGAGTCTCCTCTGAGGGGCTTGTAGACTACCTCCACTGAGTCAGGCTTAAGCCCAAAATATTCTCTATATTTTGTCCTGTCAAGTGAGCCTTAGTCCATGCCTCATACTAAAATTAGAGGGGTTTTTTTAAGCCAGCATATCCAGAATATCATAGAATTTCTCAGAGAGTGGCAGATGGTCCGTTTCTCTTAACTGGTAGCTTGAAAATGCTCTGAACTAATTTATTCTAACTTTTGTGAATTCCTCAGCATCTAAATCATGCATGTCAGCTCATCAACTTGCCGTGTAACAAAAGATACCTCTGGTAACCAACACTTTGGAGCCTGGAGGTGGAATTTAACCTGGCATCATGGTGCTTAAATCTATGGGTCGGACCCGTGAGGAATTACTGCAGTGCCTAAGGATAACATTTGTTTTTAGTTCCTTATTGGAAAATTCAGAACCTCACAGTCTGAAGGAGAGTTGGCCACACAGGCACCAAAAGCTAGTGATGGTTCAGGAGCCAATTTTTTCTGCTTCATAGATGGGTCGCCAGCTGCGAGAGTCTGTCCACAGCATGCCAGCCCCCAGGCCCCTGGCTGGACTGCCCAGTGAGCAGGCCAAACACCTGCTCTGGCCACTGAAAACAAAATAAAAAGCAAGAAAGATGGATATTTGTCATAGAATTTGATAGTTAATAGTTCCCAAAATAGAATCAAAGTGGTTCTCCTGGGAAAAATCTTTGTCACACTTCATCACACACATTTGCTTGGGTGTCAAATTGCTCTGGATCATCACCTGTCAGATCTTAGGGAAGTGGTTCTCAAACCCTCGCGTTCATTAGAACTGTTGGAAAATTCCAGTGCCCAGTCCACACTCCGAAGATTCTGATTCCATGAGTCCAGGAGGGGCCTGGCATCATTTTTATTTTAATTCCCCAGGTGATTCTAATGTGCACCGAGGTTTTTGAACCATGAAATTAGGGCCTCTAAAGGTCTCCACCTGACCCTGAACTCCCCTCCCAGAACCACCCCCTCCCTTCTGCTTGCCCAAAGCAGCATGATCAGGACTTGAGAGGGGTTTTTAAAAGTCACTTTTTAAAGACAAGCAGATTTGAATATTGCTCAACCGTAAAAAGAAACGAAATTGTGCCATTTGCCGAGACGTGGATGGACCTAGAGTCTGTCATACAGAGTGAAGTAAGTCAGAAAGAGAAAAGCAAATACATAGTAATGCACATATGTATATGGAATCTAGAAAAAATGGTATAGATTAACTTATTTGCAAAACAGAAATAGACACACAGACATAGAGAACAAACGCATGGGTAACAAGGGGGAAGGGGGTGGGATGGATTAGGAGATTAGGATTGACATATATACACTATTGATACTATGTCTAAAATAGATAACTAGAACCTACTGTATAGCACAAGGGATGCTCTGTGGTGACATAAACAGGTAGGAAACCCAAAAAAGAGGGGATATATGTATACATGTATGTATATGTATACATACATGTATGTATGTATAGATATGTATACCCAGGGGCCAAACCCTGATCTCGCGCTTTGCAGGCAGATTTTTTTTACCAGTGGAGCCACAAGGGAAGCCCACTGATATATATTGAATATAGCTGATTCAATTTGCTGCAAAGCAGCAATTAACACATTGTAAAGCAACTATACTCAAATAAAATTTTAAATTTTAAATAAATAAAGACAAGCAGATTTAAGACCCATGTGAGCAGCCAGTGGACAAGTAGTCTGGGTGTCTCAATCCAGCTGCTTCTTTGGTCTGAGGTTCCAACACCTGTGGTGTTGCTGGGGGGCTTAGCCCCGGCTCCCGTGGCTGCGCCTCTGCAGGAGGTTGGGGGGTTGCCCCATCCCCACTTCCCTCTGTGACCCTCCCCTGTGCTCGGGTTCCAGCTCAGAGGCTTTCCAGAAGGGCGGAAGGAAAGGGGCCAAGAAGGTGATGATTGTCATCACAGATGGGGAGTCCCACGACAGTCCAGACCTAGAGAAGGTGATCCAGCAAAGCGAGAGGGACAATGTGACCAGATACGCCGTTGCCGTGAGTCCTGCCCCACCCATCCCACCCCTGCCTACCTTCTAGAGGCTTTGCCATCAACCCCCTAGGGACTCTGTGGGTGGGGGAGTGTTTTCTGGGCAGTGAACTAGCCATCCGGGCCCTCAAATGGGCCTGTCCTCGTTAGGTATTCACAACAGCTGTGGGTTTTTTCTTCCCTCCATTGCCAGGCAGGCTCTGAAACCTCAGAAACTAGAAAACACCTCCAAGTACCCTAGCTTAGAGCAGGCGCTCCAGCCTGCCCTGGGCGTGGGGGAGGTCTGTGCCATGTCCTGTCTGTCGCCCTGGCCCCCCTGTTCCCTGGCAGGTCCTGGGCTACTACAACCGCAGGGGGATCAATCCAGAAGCTTTTCTGAACGAAATTAAATACATCGCCAGTGACCCCGACGACAAGCACTTCTTCAACGTCACTGATGAGGCAGCCCTGAAGGACATTGTCGACGCCCTGGGGGACAGGATCTTCAGCTTGGAAGGTGAGCACTGCTTCCTGAGAGGTGCTCATGCTCCTGGGCTCATGGCAGGTGAAGCCCAAATGAGTGAAACCCAGCCCCACACCTTCAGCACAGGGGGTGCGGGTTGCATCCCTGATTGAGGAGCTAAGTCCTGGCCAAAAAAAAAAAAAAAAACCAGAATATAAACAACAGAAGGAATATTGTAACAAATTCAATAAAGACTTTAAAAAATGGTCCACGTTAAAAAAAAAAAATCCAGCCCCACAGGATGGGAGGGTTTAGAAGTTCTCCCTTCCTGATAAACCCCAGCACTCCCATGCTGGACCTGAGGCTCCACGCTTTCCAAACAGCCTTGAAGTCTGGTTTTGCTGATAAGCTCCTCCTTTTACCATGGCGGTAACTGCAGTTCTAAGGGACTAAATGACTTGCCAGAGCTCCCACCACTTGGGAAGGAATTGGGATTTGAATGAGGGTTGCCAGATATAGCAAATATAAAATGCAACATTTGTGGCAGACATACTAAAAAACCATTCACTGTTTGTCTGAAATTCAAACTTAACTGAGCATCCCGTATTTTATCTGGCAGCCCGAGTTGAGCCCAGCTGAGCCCGACTCCACAGCCTGAAACACTCACTCGCCGAGTCCTGCCGCCTCCCAGCCCACTATTTTGCAAGGTTCCCTCAGACTGCTCTCTCCTTGTGACTCAGACTCCAGTTTTGATGTGCGCAGGGCTCCTTTGCACCATACATTGCTGTAGGGGGTCCTTGCCTCACTGGGTCAAAAGAAAGAGAAGGCAGCATAGCATCCCAGAGCCTGAGCAGCTTGCTCTGCATTGGAAATGATGAGCTACAGACACAGGAAGAGAGAAAAAGTAGCCCTCAAAAATGATGGTAAAGGAATAGAGAGTATGGACCTGACTCTGACTCTGACCCCTACCCTAGAATTAAACATCCAGATCAGTGAATTTATTCTCAAAATGGTCACCTTGTATGATGAGAACATTGCCTGCATTGACACGTTGGAGCCCCTCTGCAAGGAGGAGCTTTCGACACTCGTGGGATTCCTTGTGCAAATCTGTGGTGGTGACAACTCTTCCTCCTAAGGGCCGATTTACAATTTGGGAACCATCCAGAGGCATCTGGAACCGAATCTGGTGAATAGTAGGAATGAACAAAGTGGGAAATTCCATTTCTTGCCAACAATGTAGATGATTTCTTTCCCTGCACTTTTCTGGATCTTTCCCCTATGTTGACACTCTCATAGCATGCGTGCCCTGTAATATAAGGTGTTCCAATCCCTTTTCAGTAGGGTTGCTAATAATAAACCCACATGGCCACCTGGAAGGGGC